TGAAGGTGAACTTTTAAATATAATCATAAAAAATAAAGATTTTCATATAGTGTTATACTTATTTCATGAAGCAGTTCAGGATGACACAATTGTACGCATGTATATTTTAAAATCCTATTTATGTGTAAATGAGTCTATATAGTATTTATATATTAAAGATCTTTGTTGGCCAAGTTTTGAATGAGGGTCTGTGCACTGTCCACCTATTACTATTTTGTGTTGGTAATCTTGTTTCTCTGGTAAACCTAATACCTTACGTTTTTATTCTGAGATATCATGTTCCCTGGTATTTTATGCTCTAAACAAACTACAGCATATTTTGGGTTTCTCTTCTTTTAACAACTTTGATTGTGTTTAACACACATTTCACAGTGTTATCCTTGGTAAAATTGTCTAACTTCAAAATGAGCTCATCTTATTCACCTGTGCTTCATTCTTCATGTGTATGTATTCTAAGATAAGTCTAATAAAACCTGTAGCTAAATAAACTATTATTTTAAATACTTAACAGAATAATTGTATCTTCACAGGAGCAGAAACAAGTTACTTCTAGATTTAATGATAGCATTGACACATCCTGTAAATTATCAGATACAAGAAGTCAAATTCAGCAAACAAATTCACCAGCCCCTTTTTATCTTCAGCATTCGTTTCAGACTACATCAAGTAATGTGTCATCTTAAGCTCATACACAACACTATAGATATGTTACCTGTTCTTTGGGATTTTCTCATCTTTAGGAATTTTATTAACCCATAAAGTTTTCATTAGTTTTATATCCAGAAATAAAAAAAAATTGTTGTGCAAGAAACCATACTTATTTGAAAATTTTAAATGTAAATTGTCTTAGAATTTACTATTGTAAGTCATTGATTATTTGTCAATAATCAGTGAAACATATGCTTAGGGGTTAACTTTATATGTAATTTGTTATAATAGTCATATACCTTATAAAACTGTATTCTGTGTGCAACTTGTTAATATACACTCAAACAAAAGGATGGGATAGTTTAAATTTGTTGTTTTTGGTTCAGAAAACACCAGTATTGCAATATCTGGAATTTAGATGCCTGTTTTTAATATGTGTTCATTCAAAGTAAAATTTGTGGAAAAAAAAAGAAGAAAGAAAGGATATGAATTTTCAGGCTCTACTCTGGTAGAAGGCCCCAAAATTGTGGATTTTTCTCAATCCTTCATTTAATTTTCAATATATGTACAATACAGAAGAAAAAAGTATAAAATTTATGACTGAAGTATTTTGAATCTGAATATTGTGGCTGCAGCATTGTTCCTAACAGATAAAGTTACCATTGTATAATCAAAAAACATTTTATTTGACATATTATAATAAAAAAGGTTTAGTTGAACTTTTTTTTATTAGAAATCATGCTGAATGTTCATTAGATGTTCTGCCAGTACTATTACTGCTATTGATGTTATAATAATGTTTAGTGATGGCTTTAAGTTTTAGCATTTGGATCACTACTACAAGGACATAAATAAGACTTTAACATGAAGTTAACCTCTAAGTTCAAAATTATGTTAGTGACACCAACAAAATAGCTGAAAAATAATTTTTCAAGAATTTGAATGTTGAATGAGTTATCATTCTGTATTTAAAAATGTTTTCATAGATACAGAGAAAATAGACTTAGTAATTGAAGATATCCTTGATATGTGGATTTCATAAAATAAATTTCTTAATTTTTTCAACAGCCTTACATTAATGTTATTTAGAAAACATACTTTATAGAAGAAGAAGAGTCTTCTTGAGAGCTTTACATTGAAATGATTTAAAAATAAAGTTTGCTTCATTATATGCAAAATAAACTTCTTGTTCTGTGATAGAAAAACTTGTAACAGCATGAAGATAAACTAAAAGGACTTGTCAGTATAACTTTCTGATGTAATTAAAGATGATTTAGCCTTTAGAAAGTTTGATTTACAAGTTTAGAATGAATTAAATCTCAGAAGCTTTCTTGGGTGAGAAATCTCATATGATAGCCCAAAGTTTTTGCCAAGAACAGAAGAAAGTATATCAATTGTATCAGAGTTAACAGAATTTATATATGAATCACTACTTGAAACAAAAACCAAGATATGAAACTTCTAGTTCAACAAAAGATTTAAGTTCATCCATCAACTTGTATGCAAACAAATTTTGTTTCAATAATTTTCAAATACAAACAACATGTTGGAAACCTTGAAAAACATCAGAAGAAAGTTATTGATACA